TGGCCCCTAAAATTATTCTATAAATTTTATTTCATTTTAATTAGACTCCAACTAACCAATAGCAAGATTCCTAAAATTATTACTTCCTCTGTCCTAAAATTAAGCCCCCTAAAATTATTTCTTTAGATTATTAGACTTTCTAAATTTTTTATTTTCTTTTATTATTAATTTATTAGACTCCAACTAACAAATAGCAATGCCCATAATTTTTTTTTTTTGGAAGTTAGACTTTCTAAATTTTTAATTTCCTTTCATTATTAGACTTTCTAAATTTTTTATTTCTCCAACTAATAGTGGAGATTCAATAGTGGGGGAATTTAATTCATTCTAAAGATTTTCATTCCATCTTCTATTAGTTCACATGTTTTTTTTCCCTTCCTCTCCTCATTTAAAGTTGTTTCTCCTATATCATTACAGGTATAAATTATTGGACATGCAATGGCCTCGATGGTGTTCAATCATTCTTTTATGATTGATTGTTGTTTAGACTATAGAACTAAAGCTTTTTAAGTGATTTTTTGGATTTATTTAATTTTTATGTTTAATTTTTTTTTTTTTCCGAATTCTCAATTAATTAAATAAATACTTAATGTAAGTGAGACCATGACCACAACAAAGAATGATTGATACATGTATCTATAACCAACCCTACAGCTAAGCAAAAATGCCCACAAAGAAAAAGACAAAGAAGTTTGATAATAGGGCTTGTCCATGAGTTGTCTTGGGCTCAATTTTGAATTAATTTAAAAACATTTAACTTGTCTGCATCATATTAGATCAAATTAGTCAACAATTTATATGATTGACAACCCAATCTTCCCACACCCTCCATATGTTGAGATTTGAGCCATTATTATTATTATTATTATTTTAAATTGCCATGGGAATCACAAACATGAGATTCAATCAGCATAGTGGCCCAATGTCCCAAAAGGAAAAATAAATAAATATTTAGAAAAAAAACCTAAGTAGCCCTAGGAGGGGGGCTCCCCTTGCAAATTACCTACACCTTTCAAAAACATATAATATTACTGTGTGTATATATGTATATATATATATAGAGAGAGAGAGAGAGAATGATGCTACCATGAGATGGACCTCATGGTAATTATCATGAGCACTTCTTACAGCAACAATCAAGTCTAAGATTCATGTTCATATTGGTTGTTATAAAATTTTACGTAAACTGTTAAGGTATTTGATGCAACCTTCCTCCGAGTTTGAATCTGTCTATGTAAAGGGTAAAGACGGAGTTTTTTTTATTTATTTGATTATTTTTTGTAATCATATATAAATATTGAGACGCACATCTAATCGTGTAAAAGATAGTTATATAATAATGGGTTAAGTGCAAAAAAACCTTCTAAACTATTGTCCTTTTGCAAATAACCCCCTTAAATTAAAAACAGTTCCTGAAATATTGATTTATTGCAATTAAGGACAAATCAATCACAAAAGACTATTTTACCCTTTCTTATTAAAATTTTCATTTCTTATAAATAAATTATTTTTACTATCATTTCTCTTATGTAAATATTACCTTAATTTTATTTTTAGTATCAATTTATCACAAAAATGAAAAAAAAATAGATAAATAGATGTGTAACTATCATTTTCTAAATTGATTAACATATTATTAAAACTTTATTATTTATAATAAAACGTATTATAACCAATTTAAACATTTTTATGGTAAAAAAAATATCTTTTTCATACAATATATTGATGAAAAATTAATAAAATAATTTTGAAAAAAATACCTTCTTTTCATGGAATAAATTCATTAAAAAAATAATTAATTAATTAATTTTAAAAAAAATTTCTACTAAATTTTTTTATTTAAATAAATAATTAAAGAAATTAAAAGTAAATTATGTAAATTTAATAGAAAATATCTCATCAAATTAGTATGAATTTTTTCATAATTTATTTAGATAAGAAAAATATATTAGATGTAATTCAATAAGAAAGGGCATTATGGTCATTTAATGAAATATAATAGTCCTTGGGGTATGTTGTAACAAATGAGATAGTTTAAGGGGTTTTATGTACAAAATATAGTTCAAAGAAGTCATTTGCAAATTTAAACATAGTTCAAAGGGTTCTTTTTGCACTTTACCCTGTGATAGTTAAATTTTGTAACAAAAATGCTAGATTAATAAACCATAAGACTTGCTATTCTCTCTTTGGACTTCAATCGACCAAATTAAACTATCATCCTTGCCTTTTCCTATAAATTAATTTTATTGTATTTTTAACTTTTTTTATCTTTTATTTTTATAGTGAAATCGTTTTAATATTAGTTACGAGAAAGTATTAAATACCCCCGGGATATGGTACCCGGGGCAGCGGGAGCCGTTGGATTATGGATAGGATAGTGGGTATGACGACATCTAAGGGCTGGGATGACCTGGGGCATTTTTTGTGCTAGTTTAAATCAGAGTTCATGATAACTACCATGAGGTTCAACTTATGATAATATTACTCATTTATATAAACATATATGTATGTATACATTATTGTGTATATAATACATATATATATATATATATATATATATATATATATATATATAGAGGGACCCCTAAGTTCACTTTGTGTCACTTGCAAGATTGTGACTGAACCCATAATGGGCAACAACCCAGCAGACATACTACATAGCGACGAGTATATATGGTTGCAGCATGGGTGGGTTGGGTTGGTCACTTTTGGGCTATATTGTCTTCTTCAATCTTAATCACACAAACCTACACACAATTCACACACAACCACACAATTCACAACTTTTTAAAGAATAAAAAAAAAAAAAAAATTAGTAAAAAAATAAAAAGGTTCCTCTTTCTCTTTAAATGCCCAACACAACTTTTAATCCCCAATGGATTACAAAAAATTTCGTCCAACAATTTAAGACAGGAAGGAACAGAGCTTCCCTGGCTGTCTCGAACTCATATGCTCAGATTCTTCTCCTTTCAACATTATTTACCTAATCAATAAGAAGATGATCCCGACAGCCAGATCCATGTCGAAGTTCGAGGAGCGTTTGTGTATGTATATGTGTGTATGTGTGTGTGTGTGTGTGTGTATATATATATATATTAGTAAGAAGTTATAGAGTATGGTCGTAGAGGTTCGTTTTCATGTGATAGGGTTGGGTATGAATTCATGGTCAAAGCAATCACATGATATTTATGATAAATTTATATATATTTATGCATGTGTATGTGTGTGTTTGCATAAATTGTGAATAATGATGTGGACCAACATCTGTAAATAATTCGTAAATAATTCAGGTGTATACAAATCAGTGATAGAGAGTCTGATTCAGACTATCGGATAGATCTCACAAGCCCTTAATTCCACAGGTGTGGGCTCACAAGGTGTTTGTGAGTTTCGATGAGTTCGAATTTAGACTCTCTATCATTTTCAGTGAATAAAAGAAAGTGTGTCATTGATCGATTAGCGACGTCTCTTCAAGATAAAAAGTTGAGTCTTTTCAAGAGTATATTATGAGTCCTTTATTATTATTTCTTTTTCAAAAAAGAAATAATAATAATAACAAGGGATGATGTTTTTAGCTCACAAGAGAAGCCTTTCTATTCAAATACCATCAACAACAACCACCTACAAAAGGCTATGCATGTGGTTTGGGTTAGGCACTCATATTATGTAGAATAGACTTGGGCTTAACTATGAGCCATGCCTCGTGAAACCCTCCCATGGGCCCAATTTCCACCACATACACTCCAATTAAAAGAACTTTTTTTCGATTTTTTTATTTCCGTCGGCAAAAAATACTCAGCCACTCATATACTAAGTCACACAATCATTCTCAACAGGTGTCGTTCTCACGCTCTGCGCGCGCTCTCGCTCAAATTCTCACTGTTTATGACTTAATTCTGCCGCTCTCACGTTCCCGCTCTTAAATTCGCTTTCGCATCCACTTTATGTGACTTAGCTCATACATCTATTTGCCTTTTTGGACTTTCCCGTTAGACCACAAGGTCCTGGTAAATTACTCAATACCCAAAGAGTACATGAGAAAAAACATATTGTCTATTTTCCTAGTGGAAGATATAAAAATGGGACTTTTATAAAATAAACTTTTCCTTTCTAAGGAAATACGTTCTTAATTATAACGATTAGGAGTCATGTTCAAAAAACAAAAACAAAAATTAAAAAGGGTAAAAAAAAGGGGTTACCAGGTCATTATGGGTTGACACTCATATTTATTCCGTCCACTTTTAACTCAACCCTTCCGTTTGTCACCCCGAAACAATATCATACTTATTAAGGGACCTCATAAGACAATAGTTATTATTGATCATACTTATTTAAGGATTTGCCACCCCGAGACAATATCATACTTATTAAGGGACCTTATAAGACAATAGTTATTGTTGATCTTATTTAAGGAATTTGACAACATCACCGTCTCAAGAAAAATAAAAAATAAAAAAGTACGAAAATGTGCCAAAAGAAAGTTGAAGAACGACTAAAAATGACAAGTTCCGAATTTCAACGCTCTCACTTTTTTGTGGAATAAATGGAGAGATCCATTTAATCACCATTTTTAAGTGCTTCTGATGACATTTTCACCCACCCAAGTATGTTTTCTGATGACATTCAACGTTACCGACGACAGCCGCAACAATCCTTAGCAGCCAGTCCAGCCATCGGATGAAACGGATTCAAATCCTCATCTAGCGATTGAAAACGTTTCTGGCAAAGAATATCATTGTATCATGGTTTGCTGAAGCTGACCAACAACACTTCACCTGCAGCTAAAGATTTGGGCTTGGACTGAAAACGGGTCTCAGAGCAAGACAAACAAGCCCAAGATCACCAACGGACCAATCGCCTCGCAGTACCAAGCTCCTATTTTCCAGAGAGAGATAAAGGGTTCGAACCTCGGTAAAAGCATGTGTAAGTGAGTATCAACTAGGAAAAAAAAAAACTCAAGATCAATGTAAGCGAGCAAAAGCGTCATTGATATTAACATGTTGAAGCTAAGAAAGCATCATTTTCCCACAAGCTTTGTGCATTATAGTGCCTTTTCAGGCAATGATAGTGTATATATACAAAGAGTGAAAACTCATGATCAATTTGACCTTTTGAGCCCAAACACAGTACAATCACAATCTTCTCTCTAAACATCGTTCGATTTCCATTTCACCTTCTTCAACAATTCCAGTTTCCTTGCCTCCCTCAGAAAAAAAATGATTAGCCACCAATTGCCTAGCTCCAGTTATGTCTGAGTTCCTTCCAACTGTTAACCAATTAGTTGAGTGCAAGTCCATGTCCAAACGACCGAAATCAGCATTCTATATTCCCCACAAAATATACCTAGGACCAGTGACTTTATTATAGGTGTTGGGTATCAATCTGATTTGCTTATGGCTATCGGGAATTTGATATCGCGGTCAAACCTGCCAACCGAGACTCTTAACTCCAAGTTACGATGCACTTGGTTATGAGACCATTTGGTAGTGCCTCCAAAATTTTTCCCAAAGCACTGGTAGTTCTATTCTCATTCAAGTTCAGTTATGATCCGTCTTGCTCTTCTTCAAGAACATTGACATGTGTTCTATATAATCATGGCCTTTTTGGGTTCCACCCATTAGCCATTCTAGAGCCTCGGCAGCTGCATCTTTTTCTGCTTGCTTCTTGTTGTTGCAAGGCTGCCCAATGATCTGCATACCATTGAACTCTACAGTAGCTCGAAACTGGTTATTCTTCAGTAGCTTTGTCTTGTAGGTAGGCGCAGAATAGCCTGCCCGTGTGAGCAACGTTTGGAGTTGACTTTTAGAATTATCACCACCAGGTCCACTTTCTGTTCTTGAAATCAAGGCCTGGGGTGCAGCTGTAAAAGATGGCTTGGAAGGCTGTAGCACCTGACGGTTGAACACAAATCTGCCATCGCATTGATCCCCCGAGATCACCAACCGTACTGCAGTGAGAAGTTCATGATGGCTTTGTATGTCCATCCTGGGATTGAGTAGCTGCTCAAAGAGATTCAGCATCAATAAACATTCGTCAAATATTCAAGGTTGGTCATGTGTTGAAATTCAGTCCGAGTGGACAAGTCCATACTTTCTACAATGTATGTAGGAGAATAAGTGCCTATCCATATAGTTGGCGCCCAAAGATATTACAGTAGAACTAACGTGAACATAAAACAGTTAATTCACATAGAATAGCTTCTATAAAAGGATTCACTCACTTTAGTCTGAATTAACTCATCCAGCTCTCTCCTTAAGGTTTGGTACATTTCGGCTGTTGCAGGTTTCATAAAGAATTCCAAGTAGCCCCCCAACATTTTTAAGTGGCCATCCTGTTACATAAAGGAAATGACGATTCCACTTAATCATCATAAAGAATAAATACATAGAAAATCGGGAAACCTTTTTTTCCCGGGCCCGGGGGAAGCAACCATAGAGCAATTAACTTACACTATCCCCTCTCAAAATACTTCCACCAAATAGGAGCAGCACTGAATCAGACACAGCTGTCGAATCCCGGAGGAAAACAGAGTTTACTTTGATCTTCTCATTGAAAACTAGCCATGGATAAGGGATTTTACATTCTCGAGCATTAACTGAGTTCTAGCAATGATGAAATGAAAAACAAGCAATTAAACAAAATGAAAAAGAAAAAAAAAAAAAAAAGAAGCAAATAAACTAAAAAAAATGAGGGAGAGTTGGAGAATTAAATGGTACTTGCACCAACGGGCCAGTGGCCTAGCGATATCAACTTCTTACCTCCCAAAGGGAGGTCAGGGGTTCAAATCTCGTAAGAGACGTGTGTGTGAGTACCAACTAGGAAAAAAAAATAAATGGTACTTGCAGGGACAAACTTACAGAGTACAGAAGCACCTGGCCGTCCTCCATTGTTTTCAATGAGAATGACTTTTCATTGTGCTGTTAATGCATTCATATAGTGCTCAAAAAGATTAGATGAAGTTAAAATAACTCAAAACTGTTAGAATTGAATAATGCAGTAACAAAAAAGACAATTCTGGCAAAATCATTTCATCTACTAAGTTTGAAATTGAAGGAGTAAAATTCTGGTCCAAAGCACTCTATTTACTCTTCAATTTACTAAATTTATGAGAACAAATGGACTCATTCTTGTATAGTAAGAAATTATCTTCAGGACACAAGTGAAGGAGATAGACGCTAAAGCAGTTTTTATGTTAGGCCCCAAAGAGATATGGAAGGTCAAAAGAAATAATGAACTTTAGAATAGATATGAGTGCCATGGCTTACCACAACAGAGCAAATTCCAGGATACAGGCCATAGCAAATAACTGCACGAAGGAGATGCTCATCGTAACTCCATGCATTGCAGATGGTTACGTTACTATCAACGAGGCCAGTATCATTAAGCAAAGAGTTAAACTCCCTTCGAAGAGCATCAATTACTTTCATTGATTGTGCAGAAAGAAAATTTTTCCAGCAGTATTCATATCCAGAGAGGTCTCTGTCTGCATCTTTCCAGCCCTCATATGCCCGGACCAGAGCAAGATGGTCACTGTAATCACGGGAAAACTGAGCTTTGGCAGCTTCTGCTAGCTGCAAGTAGGGAGACATGTGCAGTGATACAATCAATTGCAAAGCATTACAAGTAGGGAGACATGTCCAACACTTCATGGCCGTGTCAATAATTTAAAAATATTTTTATTATTTTGGACACTTGGTCAACACAATCTGCACAATCGACCAACACATCCTACACTATTCGACTTGTATAAAACAAACACATTACACTCGTGAACACAATATTATGAATATACATCAAAATGTCCAACCTCTTTTTCTTGCGATGTTTGGCATTAAACATGTCAAAGTATGTATTGAACAAAAACATATTTATAATGACATGACAGGAGATTAATATCGTATATAATATAATATATTATTTTTGATATTCGAATAGCCTCAGAAACTTTAGTATAGAAATTATAAATTATTTAAAAATATAATTATCTTGCGTACTCAATAGATAAATAAATATAAATGGAAATTTATATTTATATTAGCTGTGTCCATGTCCTACGTTTTCGAATTTGACATGTCAATGAATCCTTCTTGTATCGTGTCCGTGTCCCGTGTCTATGCTTCTTGGCTGCAAACCTACTACTACATCATTATTTTTTAAGAAATGATTTGCTAGCATTAGCCATGATTACACTGGGGAAAAAAAAGGACAAAATTAGACAAGGACACAACTGCGAGATAGTTGAAGTAGCACTTACTTGAAATAAAATAATAGAATAGATTAAGATGGTTTGGCCATGTGCATCGGCAGCCAAGTGACAATGTCCTTACTGAGTATATTACTAGGGGAAGGGAAGGCCAAAATAAAAATGGATCAAGATGGTTAGGAAAGATATGATAGAATGTGGTTTGACTGAACAACCTATAGCCTTAGAGGAGAATGAAAAAAATAAATTCATGTAACCAACCTCAAATAGCCTCTTTGAGTTGGTTCCCAGGCAAGAGGCCAAAGAGAATATCGGCATGAAACAACTAATGGGAAGATTTAGAGAGAGAATAAAGAGCTATTTAAGGTGTTTCGTCATTATCATCCTGACCTTTATCGTGTATGAACTGGTTCTTATTCTTGCATTAACCATACAGAAGAGGATTTTTTTTAATGTTAAAACAAACAAATTGGTTAATATACAAATAGCGTATTGCCATGTTAAATTGATGGTAAAAACTCTTCTGCATTGACAGATGTACCCTCTGAAACCACCAGCATACTGTCTTATTTTTCCACCCAAAAAAAAACTGTAAATAAAACAAAACAAAAAAAAAAAAAAAACAAACCAACCTTAGTATTTTTGACTTAAAAGTCTTAAAAGTGAATTAAAACTTATCCCCATTCCCCTCCACACAACAATAAAAATAAAGTTAGTGCAATGGGAGAGAGAGGAGGAGAAGAGCAGATAAGATATTCAACTTATTCAGTTGTGTAGAATAAAATATATATATATATCTATACAGATTGCGAATAATAAAGCCCTCATGGAAGGCTGACCAGCTTAAAGAGGAAAAAGACAACACTACACTTAAGGAAGGCCCAAAGTTGGGATCCCAAAACCAAAGTCGAGATGTGATTCAAACAGGAAGAGAAGAAAAGTCAGTGACTATGTTGTGATGATGCTGGGATGGGCTGCGACTAGTGTTGCGATGAAGCCGAGAGTTGTGACTGTGCTGTGATCTCGAGTTGCGAGAGCTGTGTTGCAATTTGGGGTCGCAATTGTCAAGGGTTCACAATTGTTGATTGTCTATTAGATTGCGAGTGGAGAAAAGAGTGATGCAACGCGATACAATCACAAGTGCTCTGATACCATGATAAAGTTTGCGCAATGAGAGAGAGGTGAGAAGAGACAAAATAAGGTTTTCGATCTTATTCAGTTGTGTGTAATACAATAAAAGTACTAAAAAAGTATAGATTACAAAAAATGAATAAAATATGCCCTAAAGGAAGGCTGACTATCTAATAGAGGGAAAAGGCAACACTACCCTCAGAAGGACCTTGATACTCAGGCTCACTTGTCTCACCGAGTATCTTGACCAAAGGCTTTACAACCATTTATTACATGCATGTGGGACCATGTTTTGTCCCACTTCCATCTAATCTAAGGCTGTAAAGTCCTATGGTCAAGGTACTCGGTGAGACAAGTGGGCCTGAATATCATTTCCACCCTCAAAATCAAAATAATTCTCTAACACCTCCCTCCCTCACTGTCTACTATATCCCAAAAAAACTCAAATTTTTAGGCCAGCCGAGGGTGCAAAACAAAGCCACACTCTTAGGCCCAGTTTGGTTAGAGAGAAGTGGAAGGAAAACAAAAAAAAAAAAAGTTAATGAAGGGAAATGTTATATTCTGTTTGGTATAAAATTGTGGAAGTAAAAGGAAGGAAATGGAGGGATTGGAGGGATGATGAGTAAGTTTTCTATCCTCCCAAAAATGAGAGGAAATGGAAGGAAAGGACTACAATGTTTAACGAAAGTTTTCTAATACTGATTTTGCTCTTATTTTTATAAAAGGCAATTAAAATACCATATGAGTCCTAGGACAAGTTTTTATTCTCTTTAATCCTTTCTGTGTTCAAATTGTCAAGTTGGCGGTCGCTTTGGCATGAATGATATTTAGCAAGATCTTTATATTTGTCTTACCACTCCCTACCTATATATTAGTCTTTTAAATGTGAAAGGATATAGTGGTAAATTCATTAAACTAGTTTCCCTTTCTTCTTTCCCCAAACATAATTAAAGCACTAAGACTATCATTTATTTTCTTTTCCTTCTTCATCAATCAAACACACAATGAGAGGTTAACGCTATCCTTTCCTTTCCTTTCTTTTCTTTTCTCTCGTAACTAATGATATCCTTTCTTTTACTTTCCCCCCTGTTGTACCAAACATAACCTTAGGAATGATAACTGATACGCACAATGCAATTGTCTCTAGGAATAATAAGGCCATCGATTAACATCATGCTTCACAAGAACCCTATTTAGTCAAATAATGCAGAACCTTTGAACTAAAGATAATGATAATTAAGGCAACAAAGTAAAATTGCTCAAATTAAGCAATACCTAATTGCAGAATCAGACAAAGATTAAAAAAAATGTAGTACAAATTACCCTAGACAAATATCTAATAGCAAAAATTCATTTATACAACAGCAAGGCTACAGTATGGCAACGAAGAGCATCAAAATAAAAGATTAAATTTTCGCCTCTTGACACTAATCAATAGGAGCATGTGATCATTATCCAATAACATATAGTGGTTCACTTACATCCTTCTTGTCCAATGGTGTTAAGAAAGGATCCCGGACACTAAGACCAGCAACAACAGTCAATATTGGGTCCAGGCATTTGAATATAGCCCCAAGTATAAGCATCTTTCCAAGTTTAGGCTCCACTGGAAGCATTGTCAGGTGGCGACCTGTCAAGACGACTCCATAAGGCTAATAACTCTACAAATGAACCTTCATATTAATTATGAGGAATGAAAAGAAAGATAAAGCATGTCTACATACCTAAAGCAGTCAGATTTTCATCCTCATCTAAAGCCCCAATGATTTTTAAATATTCAATAGCATTTTGAACCTACCAACAAAACAAATTGTGTTATGCGTCAATTGTAGACATAAATTATTAAACATGCATGCATTAAAAACTACGGCAATGAAGAGAAACACCCAAGAAAGAAGATGTATATGGAGTTTGTAATAAGATATTTGAACGATTGTAATAAGATATTTGAACAATTGCAATAAGATATCTGAGTGAGCATTACCGCTAGTAACTCTGGTGACTGCAAGGCCCTTGATAGAAACTCAGAGATACTCCCGAGTTTTAAACTTTTGATTTGCAGACAAAGTGACTGTAAAGGTGTCCTTAAAATTTCAGGTAATTGATAATCTGCAAAAGCATCATATACGCATCGAGGATAGAGATGGTAACACTCTCCTGGCTGAACACGGCCAGCTCTTCCTCTTCTCTATTTATTCCATAAAGCACATAAAAGGAAAATACAACAAATCCAAATTAGTAAAATGAAATGTCAGGAGATTACAAGACACCCCTACTACTAAACATTTACCATAACCAAATTGTATCTTTCTACGGAGCAAATAAAAATAATTCTATCAAAAGCAAAAATGGCTGGCATAACTCTCTTAACTCTGTGCAGAGAAAAAGAAAAATCTCAACAAAACTATTGGAACTCTATTAGTGATAACGTATCTTTTAATATTAAATAAACATCCAAAGACATGTTTTTCTTTTGTCTCTTCTTCATCTTTATATCTTACTGATTCTTGAGAAATACCCAATCAACTTCATGGAAACAAGGTAAACTTGAAAACATACAACTGCAGCTGTCACCTACAAGTAGGAGACTCTGCATCCAAATGGTTCTAATGCCATTTTTAAGGGACAGGAAAAGGCTTTATTTTTAATGGTAATACCAGGCTAGAATTATTCTCAAAACGGCCCATCTCAATGAGAAACTGATAGGCCATACCAGGCAAAACATGACTTAATATTTATACAAGAAAGAATAAATGGAGAAGACTGAAAGTCCATGCAAAATTATTCCAGTACTCAGTTTGCCAGAGGTCACAGTAGGTTAACGGGGTTTTAAGCTCGCAAACTATGGAATTACTCTACCCCCTAATGAAGACTTCATTTGAGACTATTACCTAGATTACCAAAATAGGGTCCTGAAACACATACTTTCTTCTTATAGCTTGTCATACCCTGCTTTTGGCCCAACCCTTGTGCATGTGAGATGTGACATGAGAACTAGGCTTGATGCGATGAAAATCAATACTTATATTGAAGAAGGCCCTAATTAGATAAAAATTGAGTCACCGCCAATAACATCAACGTGTGCCAAGTCACCTCAAACAATTTTGAGAATACAATTCCAAGAGTTAGTTTCCAAATATAAAGAAAATGCCCAATTTAATTAGTAATCCATATTGATCTATGCAAAAGCGAAAAATTATTAGGTTTTAGAGAACAGGTATCTGGACATGCACTTGGTGAGGATGAAAAATGATGATGAGTTTGAAAGCCGAAGCGCATAAAAAACATAGGATTAGACGAAAAATTACTTTTGAAAATGGAAATAACAGTATATCAAGGTGGAGCAAAATACCTAAAGAATGATTTAGAACCAAATGATTCTTGAAAAAAGAAAGAAGAGGTTGAAATTATTAAATGGATGCGAAAATAAAAATAGTATATTAGGTAATTAGTGACATTTTGGCATTATGGCAACATGGTATGGAACTCAAGGTAGATTGAAAAAGTTTTTTAAAATTCAAATAAAATTATGGAATGGATTATGGAGAACTTAAAGATCAAAAAAAGGTTTGATATGGATTTCGTAGGGTCCTTGAAGAGATGTTTGACTTGTGATAACATTAGTGTCAAAATGCTCAATTACTTAAAGAAAATGAAACCATTAGTGTAAACAGAAAAAACTAGAGAAATGTGGGCATTGTAAAGGCTAAAAATGAGGCACTTTTGGAAGAATGGGTGGCTTATTTTATTTGCAGAAAAAGAAAAACTCGATTGGAGGTGTATTATGCAAAGAGGTGGGATGAACATGTATTATGCTATGGATTTGTTAATGATAATGCAATTTCATGTAATCTCAAAATTTTCCAACTTTCGAGAGAGTGGAGAATAATGTGTCATAGAACAACGGTTGGCCTACCTTGGATAGATCTTGACATGAAGTTTAATTAATTACATCAACCAATCCTCTCATCATCAACTCAAAACTATGAAAATTTGTTTTGTTTTGTTTTTTTTTTTTTTTTTTTTTTTTCTCGGGTGAGAAAAATTATTCTTAATAATTTTTTTAAAAAATCAATGTTATAATGGCTTATCATGAAACCATTTCAGTGAGAATTCTCAGAAATGACTGTCAAATTACAATTTTTGATGACTGGAAAATAATGCAAATAGAATAGATATATTTCTTTCATATGGGTCACTTAACTCCTTGTTTACATGATTTTGACTCTCAGACTGATTTAATGACAATTTTGGGCAACAGGGAGTTGGGGCACACTACAATTCCAACTCTGTGCAGGTTTACTAAACAAGAAATCTAAAGTGTGGAGAATGGTAAAGCTTCTAAAAGCATAAAATAATAAGACTTCCGGTGTAACAAGATGACTGATCTGAAAAAATCCACCAGAGAATAATACAAAGCCTCCTTTTAATAGAAGATCATACAAGGAATGAGAAGTCCCATCATTATTGTTCTATTAATTAGGTTCATTATTGCCACACCATGCCACCTTCATGGCCTGAGGTGTTGTTACCAAACAAATCCCAGGGGTTTATAGTCTGTGTTTTCTCCATGTGGGCAGCTATGTTTGTAGTTCTTGTGGATATCAAGTTAATCTTTTCCATAGTCCCTTGTTTTTTGATAACTGTATGTAGTTAGGAGTTGTTTTTGCAGTTGAGACTGCGCACTGCAGACACTTCATGTAGTGACATGCCTGATTTCCTTTGATGCAGTTGGTGCTTGCAGGCCTACATTCATAAGGACCATGTGTAATCATGTAGTTGGCAGCCACTCAGACTCCCAAGGAGAGCCTTCAGTTGCATCTCAACTTTGTCCGGACTTTTATGGGTCCTTAATTATGCTTGTGACAACATTAAAAAGCTATAAAAATTATTTCCATTGTTTCAACCAACAACATTTTGGCCTTCACTTTGTTCATAAAGGTTTTGTGCTTGCTCCTGCCTTTGGCCTTTTGCAGTTGAACAATGATGGGATTAAGCATTGCCAATAATAAAATATATCCTAAGAGCCCGCCACAAAACTCATTCAAAATGAAGGAAAGTTTGTAGAGCGGACAACTAAAAGAAGTAACAACACAGATGGCAATAGTAAATTAGGGGAAAGAAAAACAAAGAATCACAAACTCATTGAAGGTAAGCTACAAATGCCAAATAATACTAGTCCCAATCAAATTTTCAACCAGAGAATAAACTTACTTGTCGAGCAGAAACCTTAGAAATCCACGAAGGAAGCAAACAAGGTGTGTTATTCAGTGCATCATAGGATGTCTCTTTTGCCTTCCCACAGTCAATAACAAAAACCACATCATTGATTGTGATACTTGTTTCAGCAATATTGGTAGCTAGCACTATTTTCCTTACTCCATCTTCAGGCCCATCAAATATCAACCTCTGCAAGCATTCAATTTATTTTTTACTTTTTTGGAAAAAAAATTATGCATCAGGAACAGAAAAGGATACAACAAAAATTAAGTGGCTATCACAATGAATAATTCCCATGTTTATATTTGATGACAAAGTAAAAGCAGATGAAATTTAGATGGACCTAAATATAATTGACTTCTTCCTTTTCTTAATGAAGATGAAGAAAGATTTTTTGACCTCAAAATTAAATAGATGCAAGTAAAAATGTAAAAGAGAAAAATTGATGAGGTGACAATAACAATTCAGAGTGCCTAAAAAATTGTTACTTCATTGCAACCTCTACTAATTAAACTGGACAGTCATTAGTTCTCTTTTTTGTTAGGTTTATGAGAGAAATTGCATATCTTTGGGGGAGATGGTCGATTTTTTGGATAGTTTGAGAATTTAGGGGCACTATTTGGTCCTTGTGTATTTTTTGCAAGCTGCGTTCCCCATTTGAATGCCTTCTAATGATACTACTCAATAAAAAAGAATTAACTGGACACACTATAATTTGCGTAGAAGTTAAAAGAAAATATTCTATATCAACTAGAATGAAGTCTCCACATCTTTTTTCCCCTTTTCCCTCCTTACTAGGATTAGCGAAGTCCCCCTAAATGTTGTTATTTTTCTTTATAAAAAGGACGTCATCTGGGACGTCAAGAAGTCAAATTTGTCTCGACACTGGTAGGGGATTAACGGATGTCCACAATAAAATACAATCCTGAAGATAGAACAATGCTACTTGTATTAATCTAATTTGCTACAGTTGGCATGCTACAGTTGGCATGGTTAATAGCCAAATCAAATTCAATACCAATGAAATACTCTGAGCTAGAAAGATTTACCCAAAATTAAAAAGAAATAGTCTAAAGCTAGAAAGAGACCTCAAGTCATCCATTCATTTACTGCAGCTCTACCATGCATTATGGCAAAGGTTCATTGCCATGATAATGCTTTGTTGGATTGTTTCTTTGAAAAATTAATAAACAATTGATCGAGATCTCTTGTCATGGTTTTGGTGAGGAGCAAAGAGCTAAAATTCCCTATAATAGCTTTCTTAGCTATAATATGGGTCATTCGGAGTGAAAGGGAAGTTGAATTTTCATAGATAAGCAAAGTTCAGAGGAGTACCTTTAAAATCTTGATCAAACCTCTCAAATTTAGAAGGATGGGTACTCTAAAAGGGAAAATTAAGGTTAATTCTGATGGTTGTGCAATGAGAAGACAAATCAATTAGAAACAGGGAGCATTTCATACGCCATTGTGACAATGCAATTGTTGCTTTTCATGAAACAAAACTTGCTCTATTGAAATGCTTCCCAGAAAACTGACAATAAAAAGGGACAGAAAAACCTGATGGAGAAAAATATGATTATTATTTGCGTGAAAGAAAAGCAATCGAGCTAGTTGACATCAGCAAGTCGCATAACATTCTGTTTCAGCTTGTTGAACGAAGCAAGGGGCTCACATGACAGTTAATGCTGCAATGTAAGGATCCAAGATGGCTCTGTGAAATACTTTTAATAAAAAATATATGGCTCTATGAAATCCTGGAATCAGTTTTGTAGTCTAGTTGTGTTTGTGCTTCTACACATCTATAGATCATGGGAGGGAACTAAAAGTCCAAAGTTTGAAAACCTACACAAAGGACAAGGTATTGGAGCAAAAATAAAAATTATTGTGGTATGAACGTATGATTGCAACAGTGAGAATGTCTGAATCGGTAGAGAACTGAAAAATGAAAGGGGAGAACAGTTAAAAGACCATATGGATTGAAAAGATATTGGGACACCTCAAGGACCAACTGATTGGCACTAACCTATCCAGCTTCATGAATGTGATAATCACAATTGACTGATATATAGTTCTGAAATACATGAGAACACAGTGGAATAATTTAACATAACTAAGGCACATACAAACAATGAATAGATGTCAAATGACCTGCTCCGAACTGGCCATAGAACCATGGCATGCAAGCAACAAAACCCGACTTGTATCTCCAAGAATATGATGAGCTTGGAGCTTTTCCTTTAGAGAGTTTATGTCATCCCACCCAGTCATGAAAACTAAAACAGCACCAGGTCTTTCATCCTCACATATGTTGCATAAAAGATGTTCTATGAGGTTGAAACCGATACAATCAGGATTCCAACAAGACAAAGATTCTTGTGTTTGTGGGCTACACTCCTTAAAATCAGCAGCTCTGAGTGCATCCTAATTACATTTTTGCAAAAGAAAAAAATATTAGCAAAGGAAATACTAAAATATGATTGCTGTAGAATTAGCTGCCTGAACTTTTGTCTACCTCGACAACAGTAGCAATTTGGCTCTTCCTCTTTCCTGGAGCTTGTTTGTTCATTTTCCAAATCTTTTCCTGACCATAATCATCAATTTGATTGTATGGGGTCAACCGATATCCAGTCATTTCCAGAATATTTTCCAGGAAATGAGTTCGAACCGGGTATGTAAAGCCCTATTAAACCAGAAACAATAGTTAGGTTAGGTTCAAGCTCGTACAAAAATTTAAGTTATAAAATCAAATCATAATGTTTAAAATGTGGATAAAGTTCTCTACATTACACAAAATAGTAAATTCTTCACATTGCGATCCTACAAAAAATGAAACTCAAATCATAAAAATTAAATAAAACTGCTGAGTTCAGAAACTTGGTGTTGGTAACTCCTTTTTTAATTTCATTTGTCACTTAGTTTCCTACGCCGGGAGAAGATCCTTTTGAGTACACAAAAGTTGGGACAGAAACTGAAGATGCCTCCCAACTGGTATTGTATGTTCAAGAAGGCAGGATATAGCACTATTGACATTCTCCTCCACTACTTTTTTTTTTTTTGATAAATAAAAGTGTATTAGAAAGCGTTCAAAAGGGGAATGCATCCCAAGAGCTATACAAGGGCCGAAGCCAAAAAGAAAGTCCTATGGACCCAAAGAACCCAAAAAATCCATGAATTCATCTAAAGATATACAATTTCTCCCCGTTACCCAACTAAAAAGAGAATTAAGAATAGAAATTTTCAGCGCCCCAATAGAGGATTCCTCCCCATCAAAAGATCTTCTATTCCGCTCTTTCCAAATGCACCACCAAACACAAGGGGGGTTGCTTGTTGCTGATAGGACTGCAAATCACCCGAGCTATTAATAAAATTTCAATATCAGCTCAAGCTAGATTCGTTAACTAAATGAGCCAACCCTCAGCTCATAATCAAGGCTCGTTTAAATAATGAACAAAATCTATAACAATGTCGCGCTCAACCCATATAGGCATAAAGCCATAAACAAGAAATATAAACTTATATGGTCATAGCCTTATAAACCAAATATGTTTCAATTTTTTAAGTAATATAAGATCAACTGATGGGCCTTGGTGCAGCAATAAGGTTACTCCATTGTGACCTAGAGATCACGGGTTCGAAACGGGAAACGGTCTCTCTACATGTGAAAGTAAGACTACATACATATGACCCTCCCTAGATCCCACAATGGTGGGAGGTTCATGCACTGGGCTAGCCTTCTTGTTTTCAAGCTCAGCCCATCAAAAGCGATGTCAATTTTACCTGCCCCACCCCAAACCTAATGAAAGGGGTATGGAATGATGTATAAATGAGTAGGGATGGTATGGTAAAATAAAGCTAAACCCAAAGCAGGTTCACTGGGTAAGGTTTTAGAATCTTCTGCTTCGCCTTGTCCCGCACCAATTATTATATTCAGTTACTACAGTACCCTTTTTATTATACTATTCCTAAAATAGCCTTGCATATATATTATCACACTACCCTTCTTTCTTATGCTTCAACTTTCAGTCCTTCACTTCAAGAGAAAGGACGAAGAGTCAAAGACGGAAGACTGCCTCTCCCTCTCTCGTCTCCATCTCCTCTCTTTGATTATGTCATTAGGGTTTAAGGTAAGCCATCTACCTCTTTTCATCTACATATATAGTGTTCTATTTCTCTCTTCATCTATCTATTTAGGGTTAAAACAACTTCTATATATAATATATTTTGGAGCATTCGCTTAAATATTTGATGTTTGATTGTTTAAAAAATTGGCACGCAAAGGTCAGCCCCTCCCCTCGAGTTTTAGATTCCGATCCATCATCCAGCTGGAGGTGTCTTTTATTTCCTGTCATTTGTCTTGTTTTTTTTTTTCTTTTCTTCTTTTTGTTCAAGCCCTCCCCTATCACAGTTATTCTTCGTAATCTGGACGACATTTTCTCTCCAAGCATGCATTCAAGGAGAAGAAACCCTAAATTTGGTTATGATGTGATATTTATCTATATTATGTATATATATCAATATGCTCTTTCTCGTATTAAATAAATTATATTCATGGCTGTATTTGAATGTATTTGTTCTTTGTTTGGTTTGTATTGGTATCCTTGCTTTCATCCTTACAATGCTCAGTTTAGAACAAGAAGATAATAATGAAAGTGGAGGACCAGAACCTGCTCCAATACCAGCTTTCACATCACAGAAAAAGAAGTTGACATCATCTGTTTGGAGTGGTTTCAAGAAGATGAAAATAGATGGGATTGGTATGGCAAGATATAACAGTTATAAACTTATAATCAAGGTCTTAAGGCACTTAGTACATATGGGTCTACGCATCTGCATATCCACTTGGAGAAGGGTGAAACAGGAAAATATGGACATAAGGCGACAAATTTTTTTAGCCAATGAAAGAAAGAATGTTGGAAAAGTAGCATATTGTAATATTGTCTTTGATCAAGAAATAGCACAAAGGGAGCTCACGAACATGATTATATTGCACGAGCATCTTCTCAACATTGTTCATCATCTCAGGTTTAGGAAATTTGTTAGCAGCGTGCAACCTATGTTTAAGATTGTCTCACAAAATACAATCAAAATCGAAAAATTGAAAATTTATGATTATGAGAAAGCAAAAACCTACAAGTCTTTAGAGAAACTTGCCATCAACACAGACATGTGGACTTCAAATCAAACCATGAAAGAATTCATGGCACTGACAGCACATTTCATTGACCAGTCTTGGAGGTTGCAAGGTCAAATTTTGAGGTAACTTTATAAAATTATCTTCTTCATTATGCTTATATTTTCCTACAACTTGTATTTAATTTTTCATCAGCAATGTATATTTAAGATTTTTCTAGGTTAATGGCTATCTGATAGTTGTTTATTTACTATATGTGTTCTCTAATATGTTGCTTGCTACTGGAAATAATTTTTAACGATAATATGTTTTTTATATGATTAATTTTTAAGATTAGTCTATGTACTTTTTTTTGATAAGTAATAATAAATTGAAAAAAGGCGTTCAATAGGGGAACGCGTAAAAATTAGTCTATGTACTTGCTCTTCATAATAAGAAAACTCTTTAGAAACTGCCTGTTGATAAATTGTTGTGTTGGAATGTAGATCGGAAATTGTCCACAATTACCATGGATAATTGTATCTTCAATAATTGAATGGGACATCCTCTTAGAAAAACTTGATGCAACCTCACTTTTACTTGCTAGGAAAGTATTCCATATTCACCTTCCGAAAAAAAAAAATCCGTATTCATTCATGTGCTCATATTTTGATCATGATCGTGAAGGATGGATAAGTGAAGGGGTTGAGAGGATATGTGATAGACATTGCACAAGTTCACCAACAGAGGAAGCTGTTAGGAATTGTGGCTCATAATTCCTATTATTATTGGTTTATATTTTAGAGTTAGTTTATTATGGTGAATTCTTGTAGAGACATGTCTTGGGCTCTAATAAATTGTAATCCTTGTCCACCAAGGAATTGGGTTTGGGACTCTATAAATAGACAACTAGGTTATTGTTGAGAAGTATGAGTGGAGAGACATGTAGCGACTCGTGAGGGAGTGAGTTATGAAAGGATGGGTAGAGAGTATTAGGTTTTGTAGAGTGAACACTGAAGACGAGAGTGTCTCGTAGCAAGAGGGTGTCTCGCAGTACACGATGTAAGGCTCATGTATTCCTCCTCTGCCCAGGCAGCCAGTAACACAGGAAAACTCTAGGTGAGAATGAGTGCACAAGTTGTTACGGTGTTAGTAATTCTCTACAAATTGTAATATCCACTCATCATTACAGTGGAATCTCCTCAGTGGGGCCGTAGGGTCTAATATCCGGTAATTTGGCTAATTATTGATTAATAGGTTGGGAATATACTCTCAATAGTTGCATCTATGCTATTGTATTTATTTTGACTTAATTAATTTGATGACGGGAAATTAGGGGGCCTCTGTGTGCTTTGATAAAATGGTTTTATATATATTTATTTATTAAATATATCCTTCTTCGGGTGGAGTGGTGAGAACTAGGGATGTTGTGGAGGATGTATCGAATCAACAGAGGTCTTGGGTCTTCAGGTTCATGGTGTAATGGGTCAGTGTTGGATGTCTCAAAAGCCACAACTGGGAGTGTAGGTTGTTTCAATGGAGTGACAGTTTGCGTGGGGAAAGACCTACACTTCAAATTGACTAATGACTCAGCTGTAGCTCTGCTTAAAGAGCTTCGGCTCTTTGCTGCGTTTGAAGGTTTGAACAGTCAACCATCTGCGAATGAGGTGACTATGTCAACTGAACAAGATAATTCGGAAACAGAGGGGAATATGCAATTAGGAGTGGTTGATTTTCCTTCTCAGTAGCACTGTTCTAATGATTCTTTTTCCTGGATGGATTTTGATCAATCTGAAGTGGATTTAATGGAACCTCTGGCAGTTGTGCAGCCAGATTGTTTGGAGAGGACCAATGATCTGGGTATGGAATGGGTTATCGAGAACATTGGAGCAGTAAATGAAGCCTTGGGTGTCTCTTCAGAAGGTTATGATGATCGAACCTTGTCTATTCTTCACGAAATAGTTGCAGGAAATAATAGTACTGAACCTAATCGTGGCACAAAAGAAGTCAAAGCCAGAAAACATTTTTCGCATCGGAAGGCGAACAGGAAGTGAAGAATCTGATTTCTTGTGTTAATTATGACGGGAAGAATGGGCCGACCAAAGAAAGGGTAAAAACCAGAAGTGGTAAATGGGGAGGAGGAGGGGAGTTGATCGTTTTTGGTTCTTCATGAAGCTACGACTTATAACATAGAATGTTCGTGGTCTAAATGATCCGAACAGAAGAAGGGTTGTCAAGGTAGCTTTGATGAAGTGGAGTGCTCAAGTCGTTTGTTTACAGGAAACTAAGATGGCTTCTATCACCATTGAGATTGTTAGCAGTCTTTGGGGAGGAAGATTTGTGGAATGGGAAGTGTTGAACGCCTCTGGCACTTCAGGTGGTATTCGTCTCATGTGGGATCGAAGGTGGTTGTCAAGTTTGAATTGTTGGAAGGGTATTTTCTCTGTGTCATGTCTGTTTCAGATGGAGGAAGACAATTTCAGATGGGTGTTTTCAGGTGTTTAAGGACCTGTTATTGATAGTGATAGACCAGTCCTGTGGGAAGAGGTTTGCTATGTTAAGGAATTGTGGTCATTGCCTTGGCGTTTAGGCGGGGATTTTAATTCTGTTAGGTCCTCGTTTGAGAGGTCCACGGGGGTAGGTGGTCCTCTGAAATGACCATGTTTTCAGAATTCATTGATAGTCATTTTCTCATTGACCTACCATTGGAAGGAGCAGCCTTTACTTGGTCTAATGGTAGGGAAACGGTTCCTTTTTCCCGGTTGGATAGATTTCTGATTTCTGGGGCGTGGGAAGAGCATTTCCAGAATGTCTCTCAGGCTGTTCTGGTTAGAGTGACATCTGATTATGTGCCTTTAGTTCTTGATTGTGGTGGTTTAAGTTCTAGATGCACACCTTTCCGCTTTGAAAATATGTGGCTGAGATCCGAGGACTTCCAAGGGAAAGTTCAGGCTTAAAGGCTATGCTAGTTATGTGTTAGCTAGAAAGTTTCAGTTTCTTAAAACTGAGTTTAAGAGATGGAATAAAGAAGTGTTTGGGAATCTTGAATGGAAGAAGAATAGAGTTCTTGCTGATATTGCTGAGCTCGATCGTCTTGATGAGGTGGGGCAGAATGGGGAGTCATTACGCTCTAAAAGAGCCTCTTGCCGAGCGATTTTTGTTGAGATTGCTCTTATGGAGGAGATTTTGTGGCATAAGAAGTCTCGGGCATTGTGGTTAAAATATGGGGATTGTAATACAAAATTCTTTCATAGACTTGCCAACACTCACAGAAGATGTAATCACATCGGGCGTATCCGGGTCAATGGTTCTAAGTTGTGGAGAGAGGATGAGGTGTGCGGGGGAATCGTTTCTTTTTATCAACAGCTCTACACTGAGACTTTGGGTTGGAGACCTACTCTTGATGGTCTTCCTTTTAATTCTATTTCTGCGTTGGATAGTGATAGGATTGAGATTCCATTCGCAGAGGAGGAAGTGCTTAAGGCACTTACTAGTTGTAATGGGGACAAAGCTCCAGGGCCAGATGGGTTTACTATGCGGTTTCTTAAGGAGAGTTAGGAGGTGGTGCGAGCTGAGGTGATAGGCCCCTTTCAGGATTTTTATTCTGGTGGCACATTTGAGATCACTGAACGCATCTTTTATTGCTCTCATTCCCAAGAAGGGCGGTGCCTCTAATAGACTAATATTAAGGACTTTCGGCCAATTAGCTTAATTGGATGTTTGTATAAGCTTATTGCCAAGGTTCTTGTCTCCAGGATGAGTAATGTTTTGGATGGTCTCATTTCAGAATCACAGAATGCTTTTGTTGGTGGAAGGCAGATTTTGGACTCTATTCTTATCGCAGGGAAATGTGTTGACTCTAGATTGAAAAGTGGGTTCTTGGCGTTTTTTGTAAGCTTGATGTTGAGAAAGCTTATGATCGTGTTAATTGGAATTTTGTTCTGTATCTGCTTCGAATGATGGGGTTTGGAGACAGGTGGATAAAATGGATTGAAACTTGTATCTCGTCAGTTATGTTCTCTGTGCTTGTGAATGGTTCACCTGCTGGTTTTTTTGCTAGCTCGTGTGGTTTGAGACAAGGAGACCCATTATCGTCTTTTCTTTTCCTTATTGTCATGGAAGGTCTGAGCAGATTACTGAGAAAAACGGAAGATTTGGGTTACATCAGGGGGTTCAGAGTTGGCAGAGATGTTGAACATCAGATGCAGATATCCCATTTGTTGTTCGCGGATGATACTTTGGTTTTTTGTGATGCCGAAGTCTCTCAACTCAAATATCTGAGGTACATTCTTGCTTGCTTCCAAGCGGTTTCTGGGCTAAAGATTAACGTTGGAAAGAGTGTGCTTGTTCCAGTGGGGGATGTTCCAGATATTTCCTCCTTAGCTGCTGTCCTAGGGTGTGGAGTTGGTGTTTTTCCTCTTCCTTACTTTGGATTGCCTTTGGGAGTTTCTTCTACGTGAGTTGGGAATTGGGACCCCAATGATTAATAGATATGAGAAAAGATTAGCAAGTTGGAAAAAACAGTATCTATCGACCGGGGGGGGAGTCACACTCATTAAGAGTAATCTCTCGTCCCTTCCTACCTACTTCTTATCTTTGTTTCAAATTCCATGCTCTGTTGCTGAAAGGATTAAAAAAATTCAGAGGGATTTTCTTTGGGGTGGAAAGGGAGAGGAGTTTAAGTATTATCTCGTTAATTGGGATCAAGTCTGCCAACCGTTGAGGTTAGGCGGGTTAGGCATTCGAAAAATGGTCCTTTTTAATCGTGCTCTCTTGGGAAAGTGGTTATGGAGATTTGGAAAGGAACGCCATCGCCAGTGGAGAAGAGTTGTCACGTGTCGTTTTAGTGAGGAGAATGGGGGCTGGTCCTCTCTCCCAGTCACTATTACGGGAGGCGTTGGTGAGTGAAAATTCATTCGGAAGGGCTGGGATGTTTTCTCCTCACACATTAGATTCAAAGTTCGTAATGGCAGACATGTCCGTTTTTGGGAGGACCTTTGGTGCGGAGATCAGCTGCTGTCTCACTCCTTTTCTAAACTTTACAGTATTGCAGACAATAAGCATGTCTACGTAATTGATTGTTATCAACTTGATAACAATGGAGTTACATGGGATGTGCATTTTAGGCGCCCCTTTTAGGACTAGGAAATGGAGGAAGCTTGTGTTTTTTTTGATACGTTGTATACGCAGAAGGATGTTGGCAGAGGATATGATGATATTTTATGGGTTCCTTTAGCTTATGGTAGGTATGGTGTCCAATCCATGTTCTTGTGTTTATCCAACTTCGTTGGTCACGATTTCCCATGGAAGTCTGTTTGGCGTTCTAAAGCTCCTCTTAGAATCGCATTCTTCATTTGGACTGCCACATTGGGAAAGATTTTGACATTGGACAATTTGAGAAAGAGAGGCAACATCATTGTTAATTGGTGTTGCTTATGTAAAGCAAATAGTGAATCTGTGGATCATATTCTTTTGCATTGTCCTGTGGCGTATGATTGTTGGAGTTTTATTTTTTGCATGTTTGGCGTTTTTTGGTTAATGCCTAAGCACTCCTCACAATTGATTAATGCTTTGAGAAGATGTCCTGTTAAAGAACAAGCTCGTGATTATTGGAGGATTGTTCCACACTGTGTCTGGTGGTGTTTATGGCGCGAGAGGAATAACAAAACCTTTGAAGGAAAAGAATTGTCTTTAGCTAATCTAAAAATTCATATTCTTCGTTCTCTGTTCAGTTATGTAAGAGGAAGCGCATGCTCCTCGATTGATGATTTCTTTGATCTTTTGGATATTATTGGTCCTTAGATCTTTTTTCTTCTTGTATTAGGAACACATTTCCCTTTTGAACGCTTTTCTAATATATTTTTACTTATCAAAATATATATATATATCTATATATTATTTTATCCAATAAATATTTTACATGATCAATGTAATAGGAGTGATTCTTGAAGGCAAGTAAACCATTGGAGCAAGGAGGAAAGGAGACTTGTGGATTAAAGCTTGAAGTTCCTACATCTCTATAGAGTTGGTGGGTTTGAGATTTCAAATCTCATAGGTATAAGGCTCTATATCCTTATGCATGTATTCATCATCCATGTTCCTATACAAATGGGTCTCTACACATAAACATTGACTTTGGGTTTAAATCATGCTTCCAAAAGTTTTGAAATCCCATTTTCCCAACAATTACCAAATCCAATCATTATCCTATAGATGCACTGAGAAAGGAAACATGGAACAAACCAAAATAAGGCTTAAAGAAAACCACAAAATTACTAAAGGAGGCCTAATAAGTACTTAAGTTAGAAAAGAAATTTCTCATAAAACAATATAAGAAGCAGATAAACTTCTAAAACAAAATTCACATCTGAATTGGTATCGAGTACAATAGAATATGATATGTAGTAACAAGCATAAGGTGAATCAGAACAGTGACACCATCAGCAAGTATCATATTATAAAAAATCTATGGCATCCATCAAAAACCAGATATGGAGAACCACAACTTGGAGCCAAGTTAACTATAACGTTCATTTCAACTGTGACAATGCCAATTACTGGTAAAGAACTATTGAAAACGAGGCAGGTGGAACAGCCAAAATATAAAAGACAATTATGGAAGCAGGTGACTGAAATCATCTGGGGATAGAAATAATACTATTAACTAGCATCTCACCGGAACATGGACCATCGGGGCCCCACCAAAATAGGATGAGAAAAGCTCTGCATCTAAGGTTGCACTCATCAAGATCACCCTCAACTCTGGCCGACGAGGAAGGAGATCCTTTAGGACAATAAGCAGAAAATCTGAACCAAATGTGCATGAAAGTCAGAAATCAACATATTTCCAAGGATATAGCCTCCATAAAGACAACATCTTACCTTCATTCATTCCACGCTCATGAATCTCATCCACAATAACATGAGTTACACCCTTCAAATTTCTATCACCCAATAATTTTCTCAACAAGATACCCGTGGTGCAGAAGAGAAGGTGGGTATCCCTTCCTTTCATACCTTCCAGCCGAACTTTATATCCAACCTTATAGTGATAAACCAAAAAACAAAGAAATATTACTTCATTCCGGATAAAACCACTGAAGCATGGTGGAAGTAAGTGTGCTAATGTAATCGTTTTCAGAGAAATAACTCACTGTTTCACCCAATTTCTCTCCCCTCTCTGCAGCAACTCTTTCAGAGACAGACATAGCAGATATTCGTCTAGGCTGAGTACATATAATACTACATTGGGCTCCACAAACTGATTCAATCTCAGATTCCAAAATGAATTGGGGTATCTGTGTGGTCTTCCCACAACCAGTTTCACCTGAGATGATAACAACCTGTAAAAATACAAAATTCTATCTATTATAAAATTGCGGCAAATAAATTGCAAGAGGAAGAAAAAAAATAATAAAACAACTGAGTTCGTCTTTCTAAGTATTATATACTTGTGTATAATTTATTGTAGTAAAGTCACAAAACTTGCTGGAATTTAGGGCCAACAAAATACGTAGGGGGGATTACATCTTCAATTATATTTCAGGTTCATCTTTTTTCTCCAGGAAAATGAAAATGTTGCATTTATTCCTATAAGCAATGGTGAGACCGTGAGACACAGTAAATAAATTACTACATCATTATTAAGTGTTGAGCTCCAAAGAAAGTGAGTTTCACATTATTTCATAAATAACAGCTCCCTTAGAAAATTTTAAAGCATGGAAAACCCAAAGAAATTAAGTTATCCATTGAGAGTGAAATGATAAAAGCAGACTCAATATCCTTCAGAGCATAAAGAATCTTCATTAAAAAATTGATTAGCATTAACTTTTAATTAGAAAACAAATATGTGTGTGTATTATTTTCTTCTCATGAGAATAAATTTCTACCTATCACTTCAAATAAAAGTAACTTTTACAGCATGTTTGAGCAAGACAGTCAATCAACAAAACAAAGCAAGATCCTAAAATCCTGAAAAACCTGATTCTGTGAAATGGCCACTAATAATGCATCCTTCTCTTTATAAACAGGGAGACTTCTACGAAATTCCAGCATCTTTCTACCTTCTGGAGATTCCTATCACAAATCAATGATTATCAAAACATTTATACCATTAAGTTTTGAAAGTTTAGAATCAAGACGAGATATTGTAAACATTTGCATGAAAATAAAGAAAAGCCACAAAAGTAGCTAACATGGAATAAAAATAAAATTAAGTGAGATGAGTGTACAGCATAAATCATTCATAAAATAAGTACACATCTCAAAAAAGAGAAGTCCACCTATGTCCCACTGTTTATAAACAAGTGAAGTAAACCCAACCTTAATCAAGCTACCAAAACCAATAAAAAATAAAAAATTCCCCCGAAGAGTACAAAAAATTAAATAGCAAAAAGAACACAACTAATAGACGTTAATAAATGTTGAGCTAATTTACCTACTTAGTGCAACCCACCAAAACAATTCTAAACACGTCATTTGAAAAAACGTATTAGTTTTGAGCCCTAAACTGTATCCCTTTTATATTACTTCTCATGAAAAGCCAGTGCAATTAAGATTTAGGGGCGTCATAAGGAATCACTAAGGGACCACTGTCTTTTTTCTAATTGAAGCCAGCCGGCATTAAATTACATATAAATTCTGCAACAACTCCGGGAAGCTCAAGTCATAGGTTCAAAGAAGTTGTTAGTAGAGGCAATTGATCGCTTCTTATAGGTTGGATGAAGAGTGGTCGCTCATGGCCACGGCCATGAGCATTTCATTTAGGAATTTTGATTTGTTTATACAACTAGAAGTGGAATTCAGATGCCAGCTTCAGGAAGAAAACTGAGAGGAATTGTGTCCCCTAAACAATTTGGAGGATGCTCCCCAACCCCAACCTAGACAAAAAGGGATTATAATGTAGGACTTCAAAGAAAGATCAAGCGTTTAATTAAGTAATCGAATAAGGAGTTCGGGAACCTGAAATGGAGGAAGAACCGAGCTTTTCTGAGATTGCAGAGATTGATCAATTGGAGGGATTGAGCGACCTTCTGGAGACTATTAGGCATAGGAGGGTAAAGTACCAAGCGCAGATTGCGGAAATTGCCATTTTGGAAGAGATTTTTTCAGAATCTACTTACTGCGGAGAGGGAATTCCAACACTAGAGCCTTGTGGCTCAAGAAGGGGGATAGAAACACGAAGTTCTTCCATAGACTTTGAAATGCCCATTGAAGGGGTAATCATATTGGGAAGATTCGGGTGGATGGGGAGTTGTTGTGCAAGGATGAGGAGGTTGGTAGGGAGATTGCCTCTTTTTATCAGAATTTGTTCACACAGACATTGAGTTCGAGACCTTTGCTTGGGGGGCTCCAGTTCAATTCGATTTCTGGAACGTATAGTGACAGGTTGGAAACGCCATTTTCTAAAGAGGAAGTGCTGAAGGCGATGATTTCTCTATGACTTTCCTCCTTGGGAGGTGGTTAGGGGAAAGGTGATGGGAACTTTTCATGCATCTCCCTCCTAGGGCCGCTTCAAGAAAAGTTCGAACGCCACTTTCATTGCTGAGAGGGGGAGTGGGGGGGAGGTAGGGGTGCACAAAAGAACTGTGGAACCGAACCGGAACCAGGGCTTTGGTTCCGGTTCTCACGGTTCCGGTTCCGGTTCCGGTTCCGGTCCCGGTTCCAAAAATCTGGAACCGTTGCCAACGGTTCCGGTTCCAGACCCGTGGGAACGGGGAAGAACCGAACCGCATATATATATATTTGATTATATATTGAATTGTATATAAAATTAGTTAATTACATACAACACCACGTGGTCCATAGCACTAAAATTAGGAGACAAAGACTGACAAACCATGTGGTCCACCTTATCTTGAAAACCATTAAAAATTTAAACCAATGTAAAGACTAAAGTGTACAGCAGAAGAAAAAAAAAAAAAGTTGTAAACTTTAAACCTAAACCTAACCTCTCAATCTTGCATCAGGCCGCCTCCCCTCCTCTCAAGTCTCATCTTCTTCTGTATCACAGAGACACGCCTCTCACCATCTCAATCTCTCATCTCAACCTCTCATCTGATCTGAGACTGGTTCGACGGGAGCCCTACTGTTGTGCTATTGCATTGCAAAGCAAGAATTCTCTTTTGAAGTTGTGTGCTCATCAGGTTTTCAATGTGAATATGAGGCTTTCATTTTCTTTTAGTAGATGCAAGATGGGAATCGCTTTTCCTTTCCTTGTGAGCAGTCCTACACCTGGATCTTTCCCCTTAGGTATCTGCAAGACTGACCTTCGCCTCAAGCATGAGACGAGAGATTGCTAAAGACAAATTCACCGTGGCTAGGGCTTCTAACTGGCTCCAAATTTTTATTTTTTTGCTATTGAATTTTGTTTTAAGTATGGCTCAAATCAGTTTGGGAATTGCAGGAAGAAAAATAGTTTTGGAACCGTTCACGGTTCGGTTCTGGCCCGGTTCCATATTCAACGGTTCTAGTTCCGGTTCCATTTTTAAAGAACTGTTGGGATCGGTTCCGATTCCAGATGGAACCGTGCAGAACCGAACCGTGTGCACCCCTAGGGGGAGGACATGCATTCGATGTTAGGGACTTTAGACCTATTAGTTGGTGATCTATAAACTAATAGCTAAGGTCCTTGTCTTGAGATTGAGGGAGGTTTTGGATGAGGTCATCTCGGATTCTCAAAACGCTTTTGAGGTTTTGGATGAGGTCAATGCGGATTCTCAAAACTCTTTTGTTGGAGGCTGTCAGATTTTGGATCCTGTTCTTATTGCTGGCGAGTGTGTGAACTCAAGACTGTGTAGTGGAGTCCCAGGTGTTTTGTGTAAGCTTGACCTTGAGAAGGCTTACATGCAAAAATGGGAAAGATGCCTAAAAAAGGCTCATCTACAAGTTTTGACACAAGGACATAGCAAACGAACTGCATTGAGATAACTGCAAAACAGGATTATGTTCTATATATGTCAAGGTAATTTGAACCTGCCATGCTTGTTGCTGATTGCGCAATTGCAAACTTCTTCGACAGATGATTCTCTCCATGGCAACCTTACTGTGTGGCAGTGGCTCTGGTTGCTCGAAGAGCCCCTCATCAGTTGCAATACTACCATTACTGCTTGATCTCGAAAAATCAACGCTTCGAAAACTGTCCATGCTTCCTGACTTTTGAGAAAGGTACTCCCCAAGATAGTCATGAACTCTCCTTTGCAAACCAGGAGGTAAAATCACCTGTCAATCAAGTTAACTTCCTTAGCTGGAAATAACGAACAGCATAGAATTCAGTAAATGTGCATGAATATCAAGTTCTTCAAGAGAAACTTACAAGGTAAGTAATGGGAAAAAATTATCATGTGCCAATGACGGAGGCACTTTAGCAGCCAACTTAACAAAAGAATACAATAAAACTAAAGTGGGAATTCCTAGTATTATATGTGAATCAAATTCTATGTAAAACAGTCTGAAAGCATAAACTGAACAGAATCTTAAGATACACTTGCCCTTATGGAGTGTGTCAACTAAATAGAATCACAAGAAAGTACCTCCCTCTGGGGACGCTTATCATCCAGATCGAATCTGTAGTTTGGCAGTGGCACCTTACTGACGACGACAACTTTTACATATAGACGGCTGCCACATATAATTACAATTCAAATATCACTTTGGTAGTCAGTAGAAAATACAACACAAACATGAGTATATCCATTCCTTAAGTTGAAGATTACCTATATAAACTCATCCTGCCTGCCAAAGCTGCTATTTCCTCAAAATCACGCCTGTCCTTTTTCTCCCTTGACACCAATTCCTGCTTATCCTTGTTGTGTAAAAGCGTATTTAGCTTCCATTTCCACCCATCAATGTTCTCAGACGTTGAAGCACCCTGGAGATAGTAGTACAAAGTTTAAACAATAGTCAACCAGTACCCGAACAAGCACGTACAAACATTTACTCAAATATTTAGGTATCAATCAGATATGAGATGCTTACAGAAAGCAAACATTTCCAAATTCATTCATAGACGCAAACAAAAAGTTAAATCCTCTCAATGCAGTACTAATGCTTACACAAAGCATACATTTTTGGACAGATAGGCAGCAAGACAAAGGAACACAAAAATTGAGGATGAAACATTCATAACAAGTTGAAGGTAATGAAAAATGGGGATAAGATCATTAATGTAACTTGAACATTTCAAAACGATTAGCAACTGCCCCAATTAAAAGAAGTCACGTGGTTTGAGTCGAACGTTTCTAAGGGCAATTGAAAACCAGAAACAACATGGGTCTGAGAGATGGTAAAAAAAAAAAAAAAAACAAATCTTGGTTATAATCCAGTCTCCTAGATTGAGTGAATAGCACAAATGCTTCATATAATAGAGTTAAAGCAATATTACCATTAGTGGGTTGTTAGCACTGCTACCCATAAAACTAATTCCACCAAAACCTTTTTTTCTTTTTCCTTGGCAAGAAACCATTTGCCCCTACGAGGACTGCAACCCTCACCTTCCACTTTGGGAGGTATAGGAGATAGGCTACAGCCTTTCACCGAAACTATTTATAGTGCACTATAATAGACATCTTCTCCAATTTTACGACAGAACATGAATGCTACCAAGAGAGAGAGACAGAATATTTGTTTGCTTGAATATAATATGTAAGTCTGTGCATAGACAGCCCATTTTGATCCACTCCACTCATATTTCAGACTTCAAAACAAGGAAGATATCGCTTCAACATAACCAATTCAAAAATAATTTCACTGTGAAGTCCCAAAGAAGAGCTTAATTTTAAATAAACAAATAATATATATATATATATATACACACACACATATAACACTCACTGGATGGGAGAACGGCTCAATTTCACGATCGGAACCTTCTTCAGATAAATCGTCGGATACTGCAGAATCGAACTGTGAATTCTTCTTCTGCTGCTGTTGCTGATGCTGCTGGTGTTGGTACTGGTATTGGTGATGGGACATGTAAGGGTATGGATTGTTGACTTTAGGGTTTCCTAACTTGTTGTTGTGATTGTTGACAGTCTTGGAGTCCACAGGAGCAGAGGAGAGATTGGGGGAAGCAGAGGAAGTGATGACGGAGCGCAGACGGTGGTGCGGTGGCACGTAGACCGAGCCGTACGATGACGGAGGCCGATCCTTCATTGCTGTAGAACGGTGGTTTCTCGATGTTACTAGAGTTTTGGGGTACGAAATGTAGATAGGGAATTGAAGGAAAGTGGCGTTCATGCAAGGGTCGTTTCTGATGCTACGAGCCTCATGCAAGCGGCGGAGACGGCGGCGACTGTGGTGGCGGCGGGGGCGGAAATGGTGGTTTTCAGGTTGCTTTTGGGCGATTCCTGTGATTTTGGGTGTTTGGAGGGAGGGTTTTGAAGGCAAAGGAAGAAATGAATAGAAAGATACGCAGGAGAAATGAATAGAAAGATACGCAGAAAAGTCTTCTAAGTACTGTTGCTCGTGAGGACAGTGGGATGATCTCTACTGTAGTTCTGAAACGAAATGTTCGTTCAACGCGCAAATCGACACGTGAAGCCACGTGCATGGGGAGGTTTGATCCACGAATCTGATCCAAACAAATCACTTGGTCCGTTTGACATGGGTTTAACTGTTTTTATTACATGAGTGTTTTGAAAACAAAAAACATAGGAAGCTTTGAAAATCATATTTTAGGCTTGTTGCGTTATTGTTATAATTTTGGATCATGAATAAATATCAAAATAAGAAGAAATAATTTTTTAGTGTTTTAATTTTGGTTATAACAAGAACAGTATTTTTACTATAAAAATAATTGTAGCCTGTCACAAACAAAAACTTAGCATGCAAACTGTTATATCACAGTTGATCGAAATGGGGTAAATAGCTCAACCTTTGTATTCTAGCCTTTTGAAAAATTGACGCGATAATTAAACAATTAAGGGCAACAAGATATATCATTTGTTAAAATGATCTATATCTCTTAACCTATTTGTAAATTTTTATTGAGGGCTTCTATTACCAAATCCAATTTTGATTTTTTCATAATCATTTTGAAATGTCAAAGACCATATTAGACAAACACATGTATAAACACTTTTTAAATAAAAGAGTTTGGACATATATTAAATATATTTACCAAGTCTGAGATAAAATAAATCTGTTTATTTGCTCAAATGCACATTCAGATGATTAATTTATCTTGATATACACGTTTGATATATAATAATTATAATCATTCAAAACATTTAAAGCAATAATAAAGTGCAACAAATATAAATAAAATTTAGAGTTTGTACACCAGATTTATAGGTGTAAAACCTTGCCCCAATGGTAGATCAAAAAACCACGGGACTTAGTTTGGTCAAGAAATTTATTGTGAAGAAAAAGAATACAATTAACCTAATTTAACACGATGAGCATCAGTTTACCCCTAACTTAGTTAGACAACAAGTCTTGAATAAATGTTTCACGACCAATTGATTTACGCCACATTCAGTTTCAATTCAATTGCCTTACTTCAGCGTACTTGAAAAGATCTCTTCAGTAGCCCTCCAGTTGATACATCTAACAACTACATAGTGAAATTGATGTCCATCAATCCCAGTTATGCACTACTTCTTCACTTCAGAATCCTTCTAACACCAATTTGTTCACCTTCAGATTTGGTTTGGCTTGGCCTTTTTATCACTTTTGAATTTGTGTTAATGTCGACTTTATAAGCAAGTACCGCAGATTTTGTCTCAAACAAAACAATAACTTCATAATCAATGCATAATGATATGCCCCCGGGGGCTTCGCAGTGATGGTAAGGGTTCGGGGCTGACATACAATTGGCCAGTGTTCGACTCCTACCAAGCCTTTTAATTTCTCCGACTTATCCGGTGTATCAAATAATATGTATGAATGAATGATGTAAAAACACATTAATAAAATAATAATAAATAAAGAACATGTACTGATGCTAGTATTGAATATTATATCTTTAAGACAATTTACGCCCCGCATGGTGCTCACGAATTCTGTGGCGCTTGTCTCTCAGGATATAACGATCTACATCCACCAGTAGCAGCATTACAAACTCGTGAATACGGCGAACCTCCTCTATGTCATACTCTCTCTGACTTAAAAATGCATCTATACTATATAAATGCTAAATTGGATGTAATCCGAACCAAATGGTTCGAACCAATCTTAATATGGCTCGATGAAATTGGATTAGGTCTAAGTGACTTGAACCACTTGACCTATGGTTTGAACTCACTTAAGTTGAGTTCAAGTCTAGAGAGGGAGAGAGAAGAAAATGTGAGTGATACGCAACAGAATATTTAGAAAGTTTTGTATTTTTTAAAAATAGATCTGTGTCTTTCTAATCTTTACTTCGAAATGACACTAGTATTGTTAGCGAGGAAACCCCAATTGGTAAAATAGACCAATCATTTGCTTGGGAAAAACCTCGTGGACTATGCAGTCCAAAGTAAACTGATCAACTATGTTTGAAACAAAGTACATTGAATTTTGACTCAGGCTCACACCCTATCGTTCTACCAAAAACCAATCGCAGACAATCCTTGACTTTGCGACGTCTCATCCAATAGCACTTAACCTCAGGATTATTCTTGATCTCTGTAGAAGGGTTGCAGGTAAATCAAATAACACTCCTCGAATGCTTTGACCCTTTCAAAGTGTGATCACTTTTACTTCTATTCTTCAGTATCTTAATTCGATGTAGAAGTAGATCTGTTTTTTTCTTATCGTTGTAGATGCAAGACTCTAATCACGATTATGATTTGAACAACACTCTAAACTCACTCTTGTGTTTATGTGTATGTTCTAGAAAGACTAATAGAGAAATCAACTTGGATTTTTTGCAAAAATAATGTTCCTAAGGCTTTTATGAAATATGAAGTTGTAAAGCAAAAGTCGTACTAAACCTAGATGTATATAAGGGTTTATATATAATTTTCAAAGACTTAATCCTTCATAAAACAAAGGAAAATTTGTGCAGAGGACTTTGGTATTATTCTAAACCAACTAGGAAGTTTGAAACAGAATAAGATGAAGTTACCTTATTCTGAAATAGCAGTGGTACCGGTAACCAATGTGTGGAACTAGTTCCCAATGGACATAATGGTTTTCTTAGAAGGAAAGCTTCTTGAACGGGCTCCCAAATGTTGGTACCGATTCCCACTTGACAGAATTCAAATAGAACTTGGAAAACTCTGTTTTTGGTAACTTTGAAACTCATACCATGGAGGTATTATGTAAGTGGGAAATGACTTCCTAAAAGTGTTTTTCTTTCCTGTTTCGATGATCTCAATTTACCATCTTCAAACAACCTTTCAATTCCGCATCCGATATCGATCTTGATATGGTAACTTGAAATTACAACTCGATCATGACTTGTTTTGACATCGAAATTTGCCAATTACACCAGAAAATGAATTAAACGAATTGCAAATGGCAGCCCAAGGGGGTATTTATAAAAATAGAAGTGCCTTTTTTCGGATTGGGTGTGTCTCTTCATTATTGAACACAACCATTTATATGTGTCTATTCATCACCAGACACACCCACTGCAATAGGTTGCAATGGTTCACATTCAATAGGTTATATCTATTGGTTTTGAGTTACATCTTTTCATCGAACAACTAATCAGTGATCACACATGTTCAGTCCAAGGCATCAGTTGATGACTTATGAAATAATTTTCATTCACAAATTCTAACAATCCCCCACATGAATGAAAATTAGCTTCTTAAATGCAAAAGATGATCATGCATACACTAGAGAGAATATAGACGGAAAGTTACTACATCGGGATAGTTTTTGGCATTAAACCTTCCCTAGTGTATTACTCTCGGATTTACTGGTTAACTAATGAACGTGATGTCTGGAACTGTTCAACCATTGATGTAAACCAAGACAATAGCAAACACACAATGCCCTTCCTCACAAAGTTGGTTCTCATTATTGTGTTCATTTTGGCCCCGAACAACTCCTGGCATTCATGAGTGCTCCAGAAAACTTAGCATTTATAGTTCTAATAGAAGTGGCCACACTTCACACTCATATAGGTAACTTCTTATTAAAAGTATTCTACCATACCTCCACTTGAATTTTCAAGGTATAATAGTCATTAAAAGTGTAGCTTATTCTAATTCTCTATGTAGGTAACACTATCTTATCATAGAAATGGGTAGAAGATTCCTATCTTTCCAGTGCTTCTGGTGAGTCATTCAGAATTTCTGTTGTCCCTTTGAACCTAGATCTTGGGATCTCCAGTCAGCTAAGTTGGGTTTTCATTAAGATGATTCATTAGTTTTCGGCTTTAACCCCATTCCTCTCTATGATCTGTACAATTACTCTCTAGTACAATCCTCAATTTTATATATGGCTACAAAGTTGTATGTAGAAATATTATACTCTGCAGAGATTTCACTAGTCGAGAGCAATTGTATACTTTTTGCCATAAAATTGCTTATTATTAGCAATATCATTTTCTTTAGTGGCACAAGTGTAGATTTACTTTGAAATGTCCTCTAGGTGGAGTCTATTAATTTTTCTATTTGATTTATTCAAAATTTCTACCTTTGATTCTCTAAAAAAACATATAACTACACCATTAATATTAAAGACATATCCACTATTGGATCTAAAGTCTTTAATATCCCACATCTAGATTGCATCACTGTTATACCTCCAATTTAGTTAGATACCTCGATCTATATGATAATAGACTTAGGGTATATCTTAACTACCCAATTTATTGCTTTTCAGTGATCATATCCTGGATTGAAAGTGTGCAATTAATCACAGTTATTAAGATGCCTTGCAATCTCAACCAGTGATATACTTTGACAAGTATTTGTATTTGAGATTTATATCTATAAAAGTTAGTTAGACTTTTGTTATCATAACTAGTATTATCTCAATCTCAGTCTATTGAGTATACTATGTTATCAGACGTTAAATCTTCCATATCAAATATACTAATTAGTATAATATTTTAAGGCATACAATGACTTATGCATTACATTTATGTCATTATTTCGGTATTAGCTTTAATCCATTTAAGGACTTATAAGCTTGCACACTTAACTTTTAACTTGGAACAATGAACTTGTCCCATTAAATATTTTCCTCACAAGAAGCAAGATGCAGTACTGTTATAACCAATATTATAAATGATTTTTGGTCATATCCAAAATCTCTTAGGATTAATAATCCCCACATTTATAAGTATTTCTTATCTGACGAGATAACTCGTAACAAATTTCATCTATGGATAATATTCCCCCACAACATTGGGATAATCCTAAAATTTTATTTATGACGTATTTATTATGGTTTTCTAACTCTTGAGATACCATATACTAAATATTTCACCTCATCTACCTTTTTCAAGGTTCTATATATTTGTTTCTCAACAAACATGTATAACAGTCTATAATGCATATATTCTCA